CTTTTAAATCAGCTTGACAAAGATTTTTCCTCACATTTTAAACAGAATCACAACATATTGAAACAGTTTTGTATGGTCAGCCCTTCATGCCACACTGTATATACTCTGGTAACCCTGTGTATATAGCAATATGCAGAAAAGACAGATGCCATGACAGAAATAGCAGGCTGTTGTTCAGAGACATTTAGTTGGCTACAACTAGTTTTTCCATTTTTTTGCCTCAGTAACACCTGGTAGCTTTCCAGCCAGCAGCACATCTTCTTCTGTCTCTCTTTGCATCTTTGGTGATGTCACCATACTGCTGAAGGCATAGCTGGGTTAGTGATAATACTGTTCTCACTATACAGCTATTACTTTAGTGCAGGTTTGGAGCAGCTTCTCATCAGCTCTCTGGTGTTTTACCTCATGGTTTTCACTCATACACGCAATATGTGCCTGTATATAAGTTTATGTGTGTGTTCATATGTATTTGGATGGTAGATGTATCTAAAAGCATCCAATTTATTGAGTGAGTGACACTGTGGGCTAATTATTGATGCCACAAGTGAAAGTGTTAATATTGCTGAGTAGGATCCATGATTGTTTTTTTTTTTTTGTTTTTGTTTATGTGTTGGCAGACTGGTCCAGATTTCCTCTGGTGGCCTGCCAGTGTCCATGTCAGTGTGAGGTACCAGGACAGATTTTATGTCCAAGGCCTATCAATTATCCATGGCATATTTAATGTGAACAGGCTGCAGCAGCTTGTAGCCATCAGTGCTCAGAGTCTGAGATGAGCAGCGTAGCTGACTTTGTACCCATGCTTTTATCTGTCTAGCTCTTAGTCTCACTGTTTCATATTATATGACATTTATTGTATGTCAGGTCACCAAATGACCATGTTATGTTACTAATCAGTGCTGCACAGTGTTTGTAATGCATATATGATGTCTGGATCCATTACTGCCAGCGCATCATTTCAGACTGTAGGCTATCCCTGGCTCAGGTCTTACACTGCTGAGGAATAATGTGTCAAAGCACAGTAATCACACGCAGGAGGCACACACAGCTCTCTACTGAAATAATATTCTACCTTTTTTCCAAAAAAAGATTTCCTCTAGCAGCTGTGGTGCCTCAAGCACTGATCTTCCAGCTAGATGTCATGGAAATTTGACTGCTTTGTCAACATAGTCTAAAGTTTATGATTTATAAATGTCTGGCCAGCTCAGGTTGGCACTAAGTATGAAACATTCTGCTCCCAGTGGCAGGAAACCAGTTATATTATGATGGGATGAAAAGAGAGTGCTGACAGTAAGAAAAGTACTTAAAGTGGTATGAGATGAGAATGAAATGCCTAGCTCTGAGTGCATACTGTGCATGCTGTAATTGTGTGTGTGTGTGTGTGTGTGTGTGTGTGCGTGCCCTTTTTCAGTATCTGTCCACTGGCAGTATTCGCCCATACTGTCGCTGTATGTGTGAACACGTTCATGGCAGTAAGACCCTCTTTATGAAAACCCTTGATAAGAAAACTTTTTTGGTGAAACACTGTTCTTTAACTTGTTTTTCACTCTTTTTACTTAACTTCTGAGTTTAATCAATGTGCAAACAAATGTAAACTAAACTACAAGTAATGAATGTGTGGGTTGAAGGAGCACAATGCAGAACTTCTTAGTAAAGTTTTGTGTAATCGGTGTGACACTTTTAACATTACTGTCTGCTTGTGTACTAAATTTAGACAGTAATAGACTGGATTTGAACCCTGATCGCCCACACATGAAAGTAAACACAGCACTCCACCAACAGAAAACATACATCTTCCAGGCTTAAATGGACAGAGACAAGGCCACTGTGTTAGTAATATTAATGCCACATGGCTAAATAAATATTTTAGAAAGTTTTTTAGCAGAATAGCTGTAGGAGGACTTGGCAGTTGTATATTAAGTAACTTGTAATCTTCCTATTTATTCAGGATAAGGAAGGACAGAGAGGCTGCTAGACAACCAGTGAATATTAAAATGCATAGAAGAACATATTTGATTGGGAGGAAGTGCCATAAAGCAGTTCTCACCCAGTTCTGGTAATTCATAAGCAAGAAACAATGACTGATATGTTAAAACTCACCATGTAAATATAATGTGTCTGCCCCAGTGTGTGCATGTTGTGTGTGCATTTGAGTTTTTGACATTTTATATATTTGTAGGTGTGAGTGTGTAATTAAAAAGGCACCAACAACAGAAATT